AATCTTTCAGTGCTACCTTTATAGATATCAACTGTCCCAACATCCACATTTGTAATTTTGGTTAAATCTTTCAGTGCTACCTTTATAGATATCAACTCTCCCAACATCCACGTTTGTAATCTTTCAGTGCTACCTTTATAGATATCAACTCTTCCAACATCCACGTTTGTAATTTTGGTTAAATCTTTCAGTGCTACCTTTATAGATATCAACTCTTCCAACATCCACGTTTGTAATTTGGGTTAAATCTTTCAGTGCTACCTTTACAGATATCAACTCTCCCAACATCCACGTTTGATTTTAAAACTGGTAACCATTGGAAAATGTGGAGGAGAATGGCCTATTTTCATAGTAGTTTCAAACTTCCTTTCTAGTATTATATACGGGGAAGTACATGTGGCAATGTTAATAAAGTTAAATATTGTCGGGTAGGTATTCCTCATATCTTATCTGTCACTATAAATTTGATCAAAAAGTGGGTGAAACATTTTATTGTAAGTTTATGAAGCTAATGAAATATCTTACTTCACAGCAAGATCAAGGGGCACCCCCATCCTACTCGGAAGCAACCAAGAAAAGTCTTTAACTCTTCAAGATAGAGAGAGAGATTAACGAAAACTTTTTATTATTTGATTTAAAGAACTGGTTTGTCAGATTTGTAAAATGGCATTAACTAATTATTTTGTATTAGTGAATTCTGATAAAAAAAATAGTACCTCTTAGCTTGTAATATTTTAATATGCATCAGTGATTGGCTAGCTTTGAGTACCAGATAAACTGTTTCTATATAAAAGTGAAATAACTAGATGTGGTATTAAATTGATGTATATATAATATTTTCTTCTACTAGTTTAACACTAGAAATTTGTATTGACACTGCTTTAAAATAAAAATAGCAAGATTGGGTTTAGGTTTCTTTAGGAAAATAGTTCCGCTTTGAAGTTATTTCTTTGATATTATGTGTATTAGTTATAGAAATAATCAAAATTTTGTCTAAAAAAAATTGCATTTCTGATTTTTTTTCCTCTAAACTGGATGATTCCTGTACTTATTAAAAATATGGTTACTGCTAATAGCCTTTCAGTAATTAATGTCCATTAGTAAACATTTAATTAAAATGATTTTAGATTAAACATGTTTGTATTTAAATAAAATTTCTTAGAGAATTTGTCAAATTTAACATTGTTGCAGTGATTGGTTTAATACAGCCAGTGGTTTCATATCTGTATAATTTTCTAACAAAAGTCAGATTGATATTTTTAATATCTCAAAAGTTGAATGATGTCAAAAAGATGTCTGTATCTATAAACAATTTTATCAGTGTAAATGTTATGTACAGAAAAATTAGCAATGAATACATTCCTGATTTTTCTTGTTTGTTTCACTTACAAAACATATTCAATTCAAAATTGTATATAAAAATTACTCTCTTGATATCTTTAGATTCACCTGACACGAGGGCTTTCTAGTCAAAATGGCTACTATTTTACTCACTATGTAGTTACTTGCACTTATTTTTCTCACAAAAAGTTTCAGATAAACAGAATGATGCTTTTAAATACAAAATTACTGTGTGTAAAACCAGATCTATAAAACATGACGACCAGAGGTGAAAAGTCGTATTCATAGATGTTAAATCTACAGCCACTTTTACTTCACTATTATATAATTTGATACAAGTTCTCTGATTCTTTGACATTCCAATGTCTCCTTCTAGATCTTCATGTTATTTTTAACACTAGTATTCCACTTGTGTTTCTGTTTCAGCTCTGATTCGAGTCCTTTATATTTTGGATAACATATAAACGTAAGGTATTGATAAATCGTATGTTTAACATAATAGTGACTGTTATTGAATATTTTTAATGTTATGAAATGATGGAAATGTACGTTCAACTTAAACTGAGAAATAAAAACCATTAAAGTTAGTTCGTTATTGTCATGATGTACGTTCAACTTAAACTGAGAAATAAAAACCATTAACGTTAGTTCGTTATTGTGTTGTCATGATGTACGTTCAACTTAAACTGAGAAATAAAAACCATTAAAGTTATTTGGTTATTGTGTTGTCATGATGTACGTTCAACTTAAACTGAGAAATAAAAACCATTAAAGTTAGTTCGTTATTATGTTGTCATGATAAACTACTCTCCTCATGCCAGTTTTATTTTAATAAACATGTCAATATCTTATTCATTTTTGAGACTGATAAATTTACATTGAAAGAGGTGGTCGATGCCCTTGTGACCCAAGAGTCGAAATTTACATAGTTGTGTAGTATATATCAAATAAATGTTCCATGGCAGTGAAAGATTTCTATACAATGTTACACTACACAACTTTGTTTTTTAAGCTGTTACATTCTCCTGGCTCTTCACACAACTAACTAGGGGTCACTGTTTTAACCACTCGCACCACTATAGAGTTGTGTGTTGTCTGTCGGGCGGCCATTCCATGAATCACGAGAAGAATTATGGACTCTGTAGGCTACAACACGGCATACATGAAAATATTTGTTACTCTTGAAACAGAACACTTTTGTGGACCATATGGAAGTAACAAAACTGACACGATCTTAGTTACAAAAATGACTTGAAGATTACTTGAAATCAAATATCATTTTGGGTGGTGAATTTTAGCGTCAAGTTTAACTCGTTTCTATGTGAAAATGAAAATATTTGGTTAAACAACTGTATGGATGAATACAAACCTCACGGTTTACAAATGTTATTTCTATAAAACGGATTATCTCTATCAATGATATTATTTCCTGAAGTTCACAGTATAAGAGCAAGTGAATTAAGAAATCCATTCACAGACAGTAAGATTACAAACAAAGGTTAGAAGTTGACTGTTATTACACAAATACTTTTATCAATTTATAATACTGATAGCTTTATTAGAAATACCTTTGAAAAAAAACTTAGTTATGGATTCTAATTCCCAGTTTTGTTCTAATCTTACCTATTAACAAAATAATGTTATTTAAGAATAGCTTTTGTTTGAAAGTTGTAAACTGTAATAAAGAAGTACACTGAGAAAAATGACCCACCACAAATACTGTTATCATTAAGCATGGTAGTGTTTAGTATGTATGGGTGGGTCTGGAAAAAAATGGTTTTATATATTCATCCCTACCTTGTTTCTGTAATTTTTGGCTATACCTACACCATACTTATTTTTTTTATGACTTGTGATATGCTGTCTGATGGCCTTTGTTCTATTATATATGGCTAGACATACAAGTAGCTTAAAGCAAAAGAATAAGAAAATATTATAAACGGATTGACTTGAGAATTATTTGGAAACTACAAATTCAGAGTTACACACAAAATACATGCCCTAAAAACAATACTATCAATGGGTATGAATATTTTTGGAGTTTTGCAAAAAAAGTTCATGGAATAAATAATTGTAGAAACCTATTTTTTTGTAACTTTTTTACCTCATCCACAAAAACAAACCTTTTGCTAAATAACTAAAGTGAATAAAATTTATGAACTTCCAATGGAGGACATCTAAACTTCTGTATATTGTTTAACTAAAGTTTTATGACATTTCATTTTCTTGAAATCAAGCTATGGATACATCTTAAAAGTTCATGTCTGTATTTTATATTAGAGTTAATAGGTTATAAATGAATAAAGACAAAATCTTGTAACCTATTTCTTTGTACTTGTGAAGAAAAAAAAAGCATAATGACAGTACTATTGTAGATGTTTTAGTTTGGAACTGAAAACAACCCCCGATGAGGCTTGCTAATCAAACCTTTAGGAAGGAACTGTGTAACAAACAATACAGAAAATGATGAAAACATAAGGAAGATGTAAAACTGTTACGGTATGTTACTCTTCTCAGAAAGTTTACAGCTAACAAATCTGCTTTCATATCTCTATTTAGTTCAAAACACCCAAAGAATTATGTTCCGACGCTTGTGAAAATTCATAACTTTCTATTTTCTGTTAAAATGTTTATTCGTAAACTTAATAAATAAAATAATTCTGCTAGTTTTTTATGTACGCTCCATTACATGAGGATTCTGTTTTTATTGTGTGAGAAATATCTCTCTCTGTTCGGTAGTTTCCGTTATCAGCATTTATCTCGTAAAAAACAGTATCACATAAATAATAACTATATTCAGCATGATTGTTTACACTGAAGCACTGACAACTTGTTAATTATAACAAACATAATTCATGTTTCACACTTCAGAAATGTAGACAACATTTTAGCATATTTTGCTAACTATCCATAGTTTCCTGCTCGAGTTTTTTACAGATGTGAGCTGTTACAGTTCCAATTGGATCTTCTTGGAAAGCTGGATGTTTCAAAACATATTGAAAAGTTTCTATGTCCTGTAACCTGGCAGAAAAATACAACAGAACACTTCTGAAAATCTTTTATAAACTAATTAACATTAGGAAAACTCAAACAAAGTAATCAGTGAAATTAACTCTAAGGATAACAATGACAACTTGTTAACTTAAGTTTTAAAAGAAAACTAATTCTGACATCAATAATGAACAATATATTCTATCTCCAGATCACCAATGCTTATTTTCTTGCAATAAACCTGTTTCTTTTTACATCATAAGGGATAAAATAAGCTATGACGCACAAGTACAGATAAAGTTGCTCAAAATTCATAGTTTCGCCTCTGTGTAGTGGAATGATACATTTTTGGTTATCAGAAAGTATACATAGACCATGGTATCCTCTATCTCACCCTATTCTACAATACAGAAACTTATGTAGTGTATACATAGACCATGGTATCCTCTATCTCACCCTATTCCACAATACAGAAATTTATGTAGCGTATACATAGACCATGGTATCCTCTATCTCACCCTATTCCACAATACAGAAACTTATGTAGTGTATACATAGACCATGGTATCCTCTATCTCACCCTATTCTACAATACAGAAACTTATGTAGTGTATACATAGACCATGGTATCCTCTATCTCACCCTATTCCACAATACAGAAACTTGTGTAGTGTATACATAGACCATGGTATCCTCTATTTCACCCTGTTCCACAATACAGAAACATATGTAGGGTATACATAGACCATGGTATCCTCTATCTCACCCTGTTCTACAATATAGAAACTTATGTAGCGGGGTGAGATAGAGGATACCATGGTCTATGTATATATTCCACAATACAGAAACTTATGTAGTGGGGTGAGATAGAGGATACCATGGTCTATGTATATATTCCACAATACAGAAACTTATGTAGTGTATACATAGACCATGGTATCCTCTATCTCACCCTATTCCACAATACAGAAACTTATGTAGCGTATACATAGATAACTTTTTAATCGCATTAGATAAACTGTACTTACATTGCTTTCTGTTGTGCCTTGAGTGTTTTTTTTCCTTGTGGTTTGTCAAGTTTTTGTGAACTATAAAATAAAAATGTCATTTCATTTTCAAACAAAACTTGTAGATATTTCCAATGTTTATAAGCTTAAGGATCATTAAAGGGACGATAATACAGAAAAAAGTTTTACAACAGGGTGAATTTCAAACTTTTGTATAAAAGGATTCCCTTATTTATAGTCTGCAAGCAGTATTTATAGCAACATTTAGAAAATATAGCTATGCTATGTTACTATTAAAAGGAAAAATAGTATGTTGTTTGCTGATGCCAAAACAAAGAAAAGGTGTATATACGCAAGTAATTTAAAGTACCTGAACAGCTGATTTTTACAGAAGATATTTTCTATATATCCTTCTCGCTACAGGTAGATCAAAGTGCACCTCTTACAACCTTCTACAAAGTCATATTCAAAATTTAATTAATTTACTTTATTATCAATGTTTACAAATAAATTTGGCATCAAAACATAGTTAATAAATCAAATTTTAATTTAATTTAATTTAATTTTAAGTATCCAATGTTAGAACACTTACTTGAAACAACTAAGTATCCAATGTTAGAACACTTACTTGAAACAACCAAGTATCCAATGTTAGAACACCTACTTGAAACAACCAAGTATCCAATGTAAGAACACCTACTTGAAACAACTAAGTATCCAATGTAAGAACACCTACTTGAAACAACCAAGTATCCAATGTAAGAACACCTACTTGAAACAACCAAGTATCCAATGTAAGAACACCTACTTGAAACAACCAAGTATCCAATGTAAGAACACCTACTTGAAACAACTAAG